TGCGGGGAACTCTGCAAAAAACGCATCTTCGCACGGGCAGCCCGTGCGTTGGCCAATTTTTTAGCTGTGCTTGTGCATTTTTTATCAATCCACGTAGAAGCTGCATTCGCTGCGCGTCCATTCTGTGTTTGCATAACGGAGGTTAAAATAATTGACGTTCATTTCGGAGACATTACATTACTATTGCCTTTATTCCTCCTATTTATTACTAGTCATGATCAGAGAGTGACAGCGTTTTTGAAGATATCCTGCTGCTGGCGTCTCGAATTCGCTAAAATTCTGTGCGGAGAGCGATTTTGCTAGTCAATCTTTTTAAGAAATAAAGTGAACATCAAAATGGTCAGCTGGCTGAAATCCGTGCAGTGTAGTAGTAGATTGCCTCTAGAAAGGGTCCAAGCTGCATAGTTTGTGGAACAGGTTGTGGATTAATTGTTCTAGTTATTTCTTTATGTGCTTTTTTTTTATAGTTTGTGTTGACAGCGAACGTAGGCTCAGCAAATTTCAATTACGATATGCGTCGACTTGCCGAGCTAATTTCATTCCCGAAACCATGGTACCGTCGGACGATTGTTCGACGACTCTTTTTCGGTGACCCGTCGGTCAAAACTCCGATCTATGATATCGAAGAATCACCGGTGATGAGTCGAGTTTCGCCAAGACCAGCTTCAGCTGAGTTAGTTTTTTCTCAGTAATCAAAAAATGCAGTACTGTTTGCAACGATCTCTTGCACAGATAATTATTTCATCAGGTATTTATCGACACAAGAGGTGTCAAAGAAGAAGGAATGGAGCGCAGCGGTGATATTTGGTGTGGAATGGAAGGAGCTGAATATCAGTGCACAAATGGCCAATACAATGGGCAACACTCAACTACTTGTTCGTGAGGGCATTTTACGCGGATACTGCCAGGTGAAATTTTTTATGTGAAGGTGTGCATTGGTTTTTTTTTTCTTTTTTTTGAATAAATGCTGAAGAGTATGAGATAGCTTCAACAATCGATGAAGTGATAAGGGTTTTTTTTAAAATAGTTGCATAAAGCGAAATCCAGACTGACCATCAAACGATGCGGCGTTAAACATAGTAGCTGGAAAAGTTATTAGGCGCATAGCTGAGGAACCACACTATGAATTGCAGCTCATTTAAGAGAAAGAGTTTGTTTAAACAAATGGGCCATAAAAAAGGGGCAATTACTATTGCGGGTATTCAGTTATTTAAAGCTATCGCACCAATCCACAGATTCGAGAAAAAAGTTGTAACCTGTACCTCATCATATTGCATCTACATACAGTAGATCTTAGGCAAAAAAAGAACGGAATTCGAAATTCTGTCTACTTTTGCTATCAAAACGGTTTCTGAACATTCGAAATCGGTTTCTGAACTGTAACGATTCTCTGCTGCAGTTCGACCGCATTTCAGTATTCATAGAAGTATTTAATAATTTTGGTGCTTCATACAAAATGATCAATTTCTTATGATCTTGCTTTCTTTAACATTCTTATAAGCTTGGGCAGGTGCAGAGTATCATCACGTTTTGATTAATTTGGCTTTTTTTGATTTTACTGACGTTTGTTTCTTTGCAGTTGAATTCGAAACAAGACAGGGCAATTTCTGTGAACTTCGGCCTAAAATCAGCAGTACTTTCATCACGTGGAGGTGCAATATCGGGTGAAATCACAATAGCGGCTCTACAAGTTGCCTGCAAAAATCAGACTGCTGCTTTGGTACGTTGACTGTGCGTCTCCTGCGTTTTCAAGTAGTTTTTTCCGGTATATTTCACCTGATTTGTGGAAGTTTAGGTTCTCACAGATGTACATTTTTCCAGAAACCGCCTCGGAATTATGCAAAACTGCAAGTGGACGAAATTGAAAGTAGAATTGAATGGATGAGTCGGCCAATTTTTATTGCAAAATGCGAAAAGCCATCAGTAACATTTAAGGATGAATGGTTATCAGTGCGGGATGATAATGGCGAAGTAAGACTTTAAATTATTTCTTGTTCAGCACAAATTAAATTCGATTTCTTTGGAAATGTATTCCGCTTTATCGTAATTTTTTTCAGGTACTGAAAGCCTCAGTCGCTGTAAATCTGACATGTGCCTGGACTGATCTACAGCTTATCATAACAAAAGTGACCGTTGATGATATCATAAAAATTGCTCAAAAACTGCAGTCCTTTTTCCAGGTCCAGTTCATTTTCACTTACGTTTATAATATGCACTTCGCAGCAATAGATCTTCAGAATTTGATAAATTTTAACTAGAATGAAAACCTGTAAGAATGGAACAAGGTACAGTTGTAATTATAAACGAATTAGGCTGATTTATCACTGGTATACCTTACCTTGATATTTTGATACAACGTTTCCGTCACTGACGCGCTGTTGATCTTCTCTCAGTGACTGAGCCGACAACCACGCCACCAAGTAAACAGTCCAGATGAATTTTTAAAATATTTGGAGCAGCTGTCAATTTATGGCACGGCTTCCTGTCTGTGCAATTGGCAGCTTTTCCACTTCCACAGCTGCTACATCAGTTGGTAATGTGTGCAAGCAGCCTGATGTTCGTTTGCTGTCCATTTCGAGTTCTCATTGTGATGTTGGGCATACCACCTCGTTCTGAGCGTCCCCACTCGTAGACCACCTTTAGAAAGCAGAGATAATTTAGGTTCAAAAGCTCCTTGAATTCCAGGCCATTCAATTTGAAGTGCATTATAATGAATGTGTGCATATTTGTAGGAGCAGCTTACAAATAGTCGTATGGTTTGGGGTATCCGAAGTTCGGTTGTAGCGGCGAAAGATTCTCCAGAAGCCGACAAGCAATCAGTGAAATTCACCAAATATCGCCACTGGCAGACAGTGCTGGACACATTGACAGATATTCAAGCGCGACAGAAATTGTTGCCGATGCCCAGAGGAGCTGATGGTGTGACTGTTGTTGGCGGAGTGCTGGAACTGTCCGGACAAAGCTTATCGTTAGCTTGCATGCATGGAGAAATGAATGCTACAAGGTAATTTTAACCTGCTTTTATTCACATTATAGGTACAATTATTAGCTTCAACACAGTGATCTTTGACCTGCGAAGACGTTTTTTGTGGATCTTTTCCTCAAAAAGTAAGTTAACTGAAATGTTCAGCTGGGCTTTGTTCCACATGCGACAGCCAACAATCATATTTGAACCGGAAGCACGATACACGTTCATCACTGACCAGCGAGATGTTGGAGTTTTGATTGCTCAGCGAGTCAATATCAGACTTGGCGATATGGCCTATCAGCATGGTGATACGGAATGCATGGCTGTAGTATGTCGTGTTCAGGTTAACATTCCTCCTGACTTTTTTAGTTTTTACTGTTTTATTTATGTTGCTAATAAACATGGCGTAAAAGTAAGCAGTGCTGTTGTTCTACTAAAAATGGACAACCAGCAAGTTATTTGCCAGTTTTGTTTCGATGGTAAATTGCTATAGTGGCGCATGTCAAGGGAATCGGAACCATCAGTTTACTTCTAAGCAGTCTTTCGAATAAGTGAACCTTACCAAAAGATAACTGCCTTTGACACTTGCGAACACTCGGTCTAGTAAATACTGAGGGCGTTTTGTCTTTTAACCATTTTGTAGCATAATTTGTTAAGTATGAATAGTCACAGTGTATTTCTGCTGGATTTTTTTTTTCTGTTATAGCAGAGCAGAGGAAGCATGGTACGGCAGATGAGCTCTATATCAGCATGCCTGCATCACATCATCGGCGATGCACTGGTGCAACTCAAATACATTCCATCAAGTTCGAGCGAGCCAGCTGCCCATCATTCTGTGCTGCAGCTTTTCCAGTAAATCCTTTTTTCTACTGTAGGAATTAATGTTGCTTGCGACTAGGTCTTGAATTCTTTAATTTTGCATATTAACAATGGAGAAATGTTCCTCTGTGACTGCAGGTTTCCTGCTCTCGATGCTGTGCTGTCCACACTACAAAAGCAGGAAATTGAAATCGATGACGAACTCACGCCCGAGGTCTATTTATGCTTTTAGCTTTGATCTTAATCATTCATGATCTGGAGTTCTCTAATTGTATGCAGATTTTTTTTGGCAGTTTCCCAATTTCCTTTCTTTTTATTTTAAACCAAGATGAACAGCAGATAATTTCGTGTTTTTTGTTGCAGGTGCGTAGCTCATTCATATGCGAATTTCACGATTCCGTGAATGTCCAGACCGATTTCAGCGCCCAAGTCAGCTTTTTGCCGGAGCTCATCAACACATACGTGAAGAAACAGGTAAAAACAAAAATAGGGGAAACTTAAGTTTTTTTTTGTTTTTAAAATTGGACAGTTTCTATTTTTAGACGAAAGAGGAAAAGGCTGCTGATATGAATCGTGATTTTCGTCAGTATGTTTGCGAGAGGTGGACTGTTGACCCAAAGATTCGTTTCATCGATCGTTTCAAGTGGAACCCTCCTGTCATTGATGAAATTTTGCGCAAATTACAGGTAAATTTACTATTTTCTGTCACTTCCGTTCTTAAATTAAAATGTCAGAGGCTTTTTTTAAAGTTCTGTGTGGAACAGGATGCATTTTAGCTATTTTGAAAATCAGCTTTTCCGAATTTTTCTTTTACACGGATATTTTCTGCAACAACATCGTTGCATTGGTTTTTCACTTTGCTGAAGCAGAAGTTAAAAATCTCGTTTGACATTTTATTTCTGTTAGGGATGAGGCACGCTGGAGTTGCCGTATATTTATATAATACTAGAAACCACGTGGTGGGAAGACACCTTGTGCATTCTTCTTGCTGGGACTGCTTAGAAGCAAGTTGATGTCATTTTTGATTTTCTGACATGCATCGATACTAACCGGCCATCGGAATAAGTTAGAAAATTCTAGAGAAATCAACTTTCACTGGCGGAATCGAACCCTTAGCTTTGTGATATTAATAACACTTTAAAATAATCTGCGTTTAAGATATTCGACCATCGAACAACAATACCGAAGGCGCTGCAACGAGGACTTCTCGATCCGTGTGATGCTCTTCTTGCTCAAATTGAATTCTTCATCCTTTTAGTCGCCAAAAAATCATCTAAAAAAACAAATACATGAGAACGAGGTTGAATACATTTATTAGTCGAAGCGTTGGATCGAATAATTGTCAAATTTCTATTCCAAATGTGCTGAGGCGTGGTGCATCTTTGGCGAATAATTTTTACTTTTCGTTTAAAATTTCAGTTTGGTTTTTCCATTTGAGAATAGTGCTGAAAAGTCTTCTACGTGGTCGTCCTTGTACATAATCATTCTTCTACAGTTCTTACTCTGTTGCGGTGATCTCCCAAACTTTGACTTTGATCCGTGTAATTTGTCTTTCCTTGTGCATGGTATTTTGTAATTTGCATTTTATAGTCTTTCCTATCATATAGAAACTGTGATTATTTTGCTTGAAGAGACTGCTTTTTTGTGTATTGTTGAGTAGTGTATGCAGAAGTCGGGTTATGGGGCATGCATTTGCTGCCTGGTAGGTATTAAATTGCCTTTAGACAAAGATTAGTTGAACTATGCAAAAACAACCAAAAAGCAACAATTTCCGCTAGGACAGTAATGGGAGTCATGGAAGGGAGGGCGAAAAAACGGAAAAAAGGGCGGATTTTGAAATATCACCTTTCTTAAATCTTGAACATACGATTATACTATTACTTTTTAATCTAGTTTTTTTTTTAAGTCTATTGGATTAAGCACAGAATGAGGTTCAACTCTGAAAGTTTCTAGTCCAAAAGTCGTTCTAATTGCACAAAGATAGTGCCCAGTGAGCTGTTGTTTTCCAAGACATTAATATGATCACATCAAATCAGAGCCGACCTTGGATGGTTCCCAACTGTGCTGCAGCATATCAATGAATTTTGAGGGTCGAAATTCTCCTAGGCTGTTATAATTCGCTCGCCCAACAATACACTTTGATGGCATTAATTTCGTTACGTATTCGGAATTTGTTATGTTTTGTAAATTTCAGAAATAAGCTCTGTCTTTTTGTTTTCATATATAAATTCCCCGTAAGTATCCGATGAAGATGTGGTCGGAATTTGAAAAAAAAAAAAAAACTCAGTAAAAGGTTACTTTTGTTAGTGTAATTTTTAAAAAGAAATACTGCTGCCGCTGTTGTCAGACTGAAGCAGTTCGTCGACGTGGATTTCTTCTGCGATATCTTCACCTACAAATCTCATACTTCTAGGGAACAAATGGGAAAATATCTTTTTTAGGAAAACTTTTGCGCGGGGATTTCCCACTGGTAATTGAAAAAGTATGTGGAGGAGGATAATTTGCGTTTGGTGGCTGTTCGAGTCAAAATTTAGTAGTATTCGCCTCTGGGCTCATTGACCGTGACCAAAGAAGCCGAATATCCTCATTATACTGCATAGTTTTTTCCTTTTCTATAAAGCGAACCAAAAATAGACCCCTGGTCAGCGGAATATCTCACTGCTATTAGGATCGACAGTATTCAAGATGTCGTGATGCCCAGGAAACTCGAAAGCAACTATAACTTTGCCTAGTACATTTGTTGTCAGAAAATTTGAGTTTCTAGTCTTTTTTAAGGGACGAAGCGTACATCAGAGTTGCCAGCAGGAAGTTATGCAACTGTCACATAATGATTTACTGCTTTTTGTTAAAAATTGCGTAAGGAGCCCAGCATCGTTATGATACGATCCCCGGTTCAATCTTTGACACCCTACCTCCTTTAGAGTTATGAAATCTTTATGATCTGTGGTCAGCCCGGTAAAAAAGCACTCTTCGTCTTCAGACTCTAGTGTGTTTTTGTTTTCCAAACAACCTTACTGTGGGGATCGTTGGCCTCGCCATCCTTTTTTTATTCTTCCCTTCTACTGCAATTTTCTTTGTATAACTTTAGATTGCTGTCTGTAATTATAAATATATGTACATCTACAGATACATGTTTGTACACTTGTGTTCCCCGCCACACACACTAGTCCAGCCTACAAACTTTTAAGGTCGCGATACAACATTGGTCAAAGCAGTTTGGAAGCGGCGCGGTCGGAGGACCAGGCTGTGAATTATATATCCATGGACAAAATAGGAAATTCAAGTTTCCAGAAATTCGGAACTTACTTGTTCCCTCTTTATCGGACGGAGACTGGCTTGCTGCACCCAGGACAGTGTCCAATCGCCGTGAGAATAGGCCTGTTGCCGGTCTGGTCAGTGAACTCCGCAATGGCACTATTGAGGGAAGTCTTGATGGCAGTCCCGTTGCTGCTCCTTTTTCTGGCAAAATTGGTGGCAGTGCCGGGGGATGTGATGGTGACGAAGGTTTCTCGAACTCAGCCACTGGATGCAGTAATTTCGAAGCTGATAACGGTGACAGCTCTGAGTGATTGTGCTCTAATTGTGCACTTTTCGATGGTGTTAATGATGATGACGATAACGATAATGATGATAATGTCTTCGATTGCGCTGATGATAACGGTGGTGATGATGCTTTCGGTGGTGCTGATGATAACGGTGGTGATGGTATCTTTGATGGTGGAGGCGACGACGGTAGTGGCGATGTCTCCGGTGTTGTAGGTAACAAAGGTGGTGACGGTATTTTCGGTGATTTAGGTGGTAAGGGTGGTGACGGTATCTTCGGTGTTGGAGGTAGTAACGGTGGTGACGGTGTCTCTGATGCCGCGGATGATACCGGTGGTGACGGTGTTTTCGATG